TTTAAATGTTCCAAACATTCGATATAATCTTGTATCTATTTATGTATTGGGAAAGGCTGGAGTGAAAGTCTCCTTTAAGGGTGACAAAATTGTAATATTCAAGAATGAGGCTTTTGTTGGGAAGGGGTATTGTTCTGGAGAGTTATTTAAACTTGGTGTACTTAATAGTATTATGAATGAAAATGCATCTTTTTTCTACTTACGTTGTTGATTCAATAAATTTATGGCATGATAGATTAGGTCATGTGAATTATGGTTATCTGAAAAAGATGAAAGAACTTGGTTTATTATCAAATGTCAATATTTCAAATATTGATAAATGTGATTGTGTGTGTGGAATCTAAATCCACTAAAAAGACTTGTAAACCAGTTCTAGAACGAGAAAATGAGCTTCTTGGTTTAATTCAAAATGATCTTGGAGATTTGAAACAAACCATGGCCGGAGGAGGAAAAAAGTTTTATATAACTTTTATTGATAATTACTCTAGATTTACTACAGTATACTTATTGAGAAGTAAAGATGAAGCAATTAAAATGTTCTTAACATATAAAAATGAAGTTGAAAATCAATTCAATATGGAAATTAAAAGGTTAAGAACAGATAGAGGAGATGAATATGAGTCAAATGACTTTGATTCTTTTTGTAGAGATCATGGTATTATACATGAGACTACACCTCCTTATTCTCCACAGTCTAATGGAGTTGCTGAGAGGAAAAATAGAACTTTAAAAGAAATGGTGAATGTTATGTTGATTAGTTCTGGAGCACCTTTTAATTTGTTGGGGGAAGCGATACTTTCAGCTTATATACAAAACAGAATTCCTTTGAAGAAAACAGGCAAAACACCATATGAACTCTGGAAAGGTCATGTATCTAACCTGAAATATTTTAAAGTGCGGAAATATTTTATTGGTTCAGCAGAAATTGCACACAAACCCCCCTTCCCCTTTGTAAAGTTTTGTACCAAAATTGGGAGAGACAAGTGAATGAGAAAGAGAATAACCTTTTAGTCCCTGTATTCTTCCTTTGTTGTCTAAGTTCATTATCTTTCATTTATCTTAGTTAGATCCTTATTATTTCTTTGCTTATAGTAATTTTACAATAAAATTTTGAAAATTAACATTAATACTCCTATGGTATGTTTGGACGTAGCACTATTTATGGGATCCGATTACTTCTTTTTTAAGTTTAGAATGGTGGTCCAAGCCGCTCATCTAATCAGAGTCTTTTGGGACAAGTAGTCCATGGGGGGCATGGGATTCCTTGACTCAAGTTGGGGACTTTTTTTTTAATATTTTAAATTAATTATATTAAAATTAATATTATAAACATTATATTTTTACTTATAATAGTATTATATAAATAAAGAACGTTATCAAATATTTTATTAGTTAAACAATATAAAATTAACTTTGAAAATCTTTAATTTATTTTAGTATATATAATTAATTTTAAAGATCTTCAATTAATTTTTAGTATGTACATTCCTATCCAATGCATGGTAAAACACAATATTATATCTCTGTTTTAAAACTCGAATCGGTCCAACTGAGACCTGATAAGAATTCATAATATCTATATATTTTCTTATGTTTTAATGGTTATAAATGCTTAAATCTTGGATTTTGATTATGTTTCGTATTCTGTGGAGTAGATTGAGGAGTTAAATCAAATTGAATTTAAAATCAAGAGATTTGGAGAGAAAAAATCGGAGCTAAAAAAGAGATACATTCCAGAAGCGGATTTTGTTTAAAGCGTGGGCACGTCCTGTTTTCCCAAAATGTTCACAAAAGCAGTCAGCAGATAAAGCGTGAGCGCGCCTTACTGGATCTGAGGTTTTTGACCTAGGGTTACGAATTTGTTGGAGAAAAATGATATATATTATAGCTGGAAAGATTTAGTTACCCATTCTTATCTCTAGGATTTGCCAAGACTCCCTATTAAGGTGAGATTTGCTTCTTTATCTAAATAGGGAAACTAATATTAGATGGAGTTATAAATACACAGATTATTCACAAGAAAGGGGATCTCGACCTCTCTCTCTTCTATTTTCTTTAGGCGTTCTTTTAATTATGAGTAGCTAAATACTTTTCTTTCAGTTGAAGGATTTGAAGTTTTGGTTCTTTAAGAATTGTGAGATCTAAATAATTTTTAGTGTTCTTTTATTTCTTCACTATTTATATATCTTCTATATTTATTAAAAATTATTGTCTTGATTAACTGATGCAAAGGGCCCGTTGTTCAATTATCAGGTTAATAAATTGCCATTTAAATCTTTAAATCTGTAATTGTTTAAATGTTCTAATATTAGTGGTAAAACAACATAGTTAATTATAGAGAGATTTTTGATTTATGTTATGAAGATATATAATCTAGTCTAAATGAATCGAGCTTGTGTATTTGTTGGCTAGAATTGGTAGTCTCTCTAATTATTAATGTTGTCGATAGATTAAATCCTAAAAGCTTGTTTAGGGTTGTTTATTAACAAGCGAAGTAATCAAAGAGCTTGTTTTGGTTATCGAGAAAGTAAGGAGAGATAGATTGTTAGAGCTTGTTAATAACCATAACCAATTTGAATAGAAGATTTTATCCTTATATCTGTGATCAATTCTCTGAACCAATTATGAAATTATACCTTTGGTTGGATATTTGCTTGATATTAATTCCTCCTTAATTTTTAGTTGATTATAATTGATTTCTTTTTATTTCACTTCGAAATTTCAAAACCCCTATTTTCTTTGCTTTAATTTTCATTAAAATAAATCTACCCAATTTCTGTGGATACGACCTTGCTCATCATTGTTGCAATTTGTATTTTTTTGAGAATGAGAATTTTATTATTTATTGGATTCGACACCCACCAAGACCCAACAGCCTCTCTAGTCTGATTCAAGTTCTAGGGGATTTTTTTGTTATATTTCAAACTTATAGGGATTCATTTTAATTTCTAAGGGTGTTTTTATAATATTTTAAAACTCTAGAGACTAACAAATTTTTTTGGATATTTTAAAATAAATTAAAATTTTAGGGCTAATTTAATTTTTTAAAGGTATTAATATACTACAATTTGAGGGACTCACTGGTAATTTTATAAATATATTTTTGTTGTTGACATCACACATCATTGATATTACCAGTTGGACTGATTGACCCGTAACCTAATTACCTTGCTAGATCTCACAACTAGCCAGGCTTTAAAACGATGTATTATATTATATGTGGTCCAATGTATTATATGTGGTCCAATCTTATGTGATCTAGTTTAATCATATCTTACAAAATCATCTTAATCTAATCAAATCCTATTTCCCAAACCTAACCCGGTAACAAAAACTTGACTTTCAGAGAGTATTCGCCCTATCTATTCAAGTGAAGACTATGCGGATCACGAGGAACAAGAAAAGCTAAAGCTGTCTACATCTGCAGGTCATAGAGAATTATTGGAATCCTGTCTTTGCGAAGTAATTAGAGTTCCCATTCAATGAATCTGTCATATTATTATTAATATATATCATGATCTGCTAATTAGTATGATGATAATATGATATCACTCTTAGTCTCTTACAACGTCATGATTCTTCTTATAATATTATCAAAACTGTCAATATGCTCTAATCCACGCCATTACATTAATCAACGCATAGTTTTTTGGTTTCCAAGTATTTTTTTTAAAGTTAATTCTTGCAATATAAAGAATGCAATCAACCTATATACCAATAGCTCATCTTGTGTTAGAACTTTAGTTCAAAGAAATGGAACTTCAACTGTCCTCGTCCAATGGGGAGAATAAGAATCTTATTTTATTTCACTAGTAAAAGAGACTTTTTTTCAACCCAAGATTTGCCTAAATCACACTTTTCCATCTAAAAAGTTTTAAAATATCATCCCCAAAGTTAATATTTTGTTATTATCCAAAACTCATTTTGATGATAAAATTTTTTTTTGTCATTACCATTTGAACCTACAATCTTCTTTTTATAAAATTTCTCTTACTCTGATGCTTAATTTCTCGTTGATTTTTGGCCATCATAATATTATAATTTTTTGTTCTTAACTAATTTTTGCTTAATTTTGATAGTAAATATTTAATCGATTACTATCTTTTGATTTATTAGTTTTTACTCTATAAAATCTCTCAACTCTTAATAACTTGTTAAATACCCATTGAGGAAGTGAAGTGTTTTGTTTACTATTAACAATATATAAGTTTTCGATGAGAAACTTTTTGCATGGAAAAGCGCCGTTAAGGCTAACCATGGGTGGGAAAAAGTTGTTCACTCTTTATTTCACTTGTCAAGATGACATGATGCACACTTTTCATGGCGCTCAACTTTGCGTATACATTGGAATTAGGTTGAAGTCAAAGAAATGGCCAATAAAACCTGTGTCGGTTCTGAGACGAAAAAAACAACACACAAGTTAAAAGACAAAACAAATTAAATTAAAAAATCATAAAAAAAGCCATTTGCAATCTGCTTGTGGGAACCTTTATAACCTAATCAGCGAAGGTTTAAGTTAACACAATGGTGAAGATGGAGAATTATGGGCTACTCTACGCTCGGTTATAGCGAGTTTGATTTTTATAAGCGCAATTCTCAAAGAAGACTTCCCATATCAACCATGGGGATATATTGAAAAATACAGTCACAAACTTGTCCGTTTGGTGTATCCATATTGTTGATGCTCGATTTGTGCACCAACCAATTTTCACGTGGGTGACACTGTTTTATGAATTTTATGCTCGTAACAATGGATGCTTTTTTTAGAAATAAATGAAAAGGGACTTTTTAAGTGGTTCGGATGCTAAGGTAGCAAATCCTACGTCCACTGATTTTGTATTGATGTTGGTGAGGGTCAGGTCGCTAAGCGGACTGACGTACAAGAGAGTTAATGAAAGTACTTTGCTCTTACTTTTTACAAGAGAGAGAGTTATCTCTGGGTAATGAATGAACCAACCCCCTTAATGGTGAGGNTAAGCGAGCTTCAAGGTTTAAAGCCGATGTCGTCAAAGATAGCAAGTCTATTGTCCTCAGTATGGACGATAAAGAAGAGGTTACCGATGAGTTTAAAGGCGTCAAAGTTTGGTGGGTACTGGGTAAAAACACTCCCAAAAGAGACTTTTCATTTTCATTTTAGCAATACTAGTCTTACAAAGACAAAAACAAAGAGGACATACAAAGATAATTTCCACCCTTCATCTTCATGATTTCTCTCTCTCTTTCTCCCTCTTTTTCCGTTTTTTCTTTATTTTTTTACTTATTGTTGATGTCACTTTATAGCTCTCTTTGTATTATCTTTGTAAAGATAACATTTTTCTTTTTATTTTACCCTGCTGCGGATGAGAAGAGATTTTACAAGCTCACGTTTCATAAGAGTCACAGGGATTTGATCACGGGTTCTTATATTAGCCACGTGTTAGACGAAGGAAAAGCCACTACAGTGAGGAACCGGCAGAGAAAGCTATACAGTAACAATCCGAGCAAGAATTGGCATGGCTGGAAAGCAACAAAATGGAGCCATGTTCATTTTGAGCATCCGGCGACGTTTGATACTTTGGCAATGGAGAGAAAGAAGAAAGAAGATATCAAGAAAGATCTGAAGAAGTTTAGTGAAAGCAAAGAGTACTACAAGAAAATAGGGAAGGCTTGGAAGCGTGGATATATCCTCTATGGTCCTCCAGGAACTGGTAAATCAACCATGGTGGCCGCCATGGCGAATTTTTTGAACTATGATATCTATGATCTTGAACTTACCACCGTCAAAGACAACACTGAGCTGAGGAATCTTTTGATCGAGACGTCGAGTAAGTCAATCATTGTCCTAGAGGACATCGATTGCTCACTTGATCTTACTGGTCAACGCGAGAAGAAAAAAGAGAAGAATGAAGAAGAAGAAGAGACGGATCCGATTAAAAAGAAACAAAAAGAAATGGAAAAGGAGAAAGATAAAAGTAGCAAGGTTACATTATCCGGGCTGTTGAATTTCATTGACGGGCTCTGGTCAGCTTGTGGGGGAGAAAGAATCATTGTGTTTACAACTAATTTTGTGGACAAGCTCGATCCAGGTCCCCCCCCCCCAACTTGACTTGAGAGAGTATTCGCCCTATCTATTCAAGTGAAGACTATGCGGATCACGATAAACAAGAAAAGCTAAAGTTGTCTACATCTGCAGGCCACAGAAAATTATTTGGAATCCTGTCTTTGCAAAGTAATTAGAGTCTCCACTCTCCATGCAATGAATCTGTCAAATAATTAATATATATATAACGATCTTCTAATTAGTATGATGATATATCACTGTTATAACGTCATGATTCTTCTTATAATATTATCAAAACTGTCAATATACTCTAATCCACGCCATTACATTAATCAATGCATAGTTTTTTGGTTTCCAAGTAATTTTTTAAAGTTAATTCTTGCAATATAAAGAATGCAATCAACCTATATACCAATAGCTCGTCTTGTGTTAGAACTTTAGTTCAAGGAAATGGAACTTCAACTGTCCTCGTCCAACGGGGAGAAAAAGAATTTTTTTTTTTATTTCACGAGTAAACGCGACTTTTCCCATTCAAGCTTTCCCTTAATGATACTTTTCCACCTAAATTTTAAAAATATCATATTTTTGGCAAAGTTAATATTTTGTTACTATTTAAAACTAATTTTGGTGGCAAAAATTATTTATGTTACTACTGTTTGAACCTACAATCTCCTTTCTGTAAAACCTATCTCATTCCGATACCTAATTTCTCACTAAGTCGGCTATCACAAAATTATAGTTTTTTGTTTTTAACTGATTTCTGGCTTATTTTTATAGTGAATATTCAATCGATCACCATCATTTGATTCATCAGTTTTTACTCTATAAAATTTTTTTTATTCTAGTTCCTAGTAATTCGGTGAATACCAACTAAGAAAGGAAAGTGTTTTTTTACGTATTGAAAAAATATAAATTTTAGATGAGAAAGTGGTATTTTAAAATTTTTTGATGGAAAATTGTTATTAAGGCAAACCTGGTGGAAAAAAGTCGTTTAGTCTTTATTTCTCTTGTCAAGATGCACACTTTCATGGAAGCGGCTCAACTTTGCGCATACCTAGGAAATAGGAATTAGGTTGAAGTCAAAGATGAAGGGCTGATATTAATAAGAAAAATGTCAAGATGCACACTTTCATGGAAGCAGCTCAACTTTGCGCATACCTAGGAAATAGGAATTAGGTTGAAGTCAAAGATGGAGGGCTAATATTAATAAGAAAAATTATACAGTTACAAAAAAAAAATACGCCGAATTCATGTATTTATAGATGTGGCATCATCTTGACCATCTATTAATTATGATTTTTTTTTTTTTAAGAAAAGAAGGTGATATCGCATGAACTCAATATATTTTTTTAAGTAACTGTATCATTACCCTATAAATAATGGCCAATAAAACCTGAGTCGGTTCGGAGATGAAAAAGACAACACACAAGTTAAAAACAAAACAAATTAAATTAAAAAATAATATACTTTGACATATATTAGTGGACCCTCCCTCTACATCTAGCCACTTAGATCCCAAAAACAGCCAAATGCAATCTACTTGTGGGAATCTTTATAACTTAACCAGCAAGGTTCAAATTAACACAATGGTGAAGATGGGAGAATTTTGGGCAACTCTAGGCTCAGTTATAGCGAGTTTGATGTTTGTAAGGGCAATTCTTAAAGAATACTTCCCATATCAACTATGGGGCTATATTGAAAAATACAGTCACAAACTTGTTCGTTTTGTGTATCCATATATTGAAATTACGTTCCCTGAATTCACAGACGAACGTCTCAAGCGCAGCGAAATCTTCTCCGCAATTCAAACCTATCTCAGCGCCAATGATTCCGTGCGTACGCGAGCTTCAAGGTTTAAAGCCGATGTCGTCAAAGATAGCAAGTCTATTGTCCTCAGTATGGACGATAAAGAAGAGGTTACCGATGAGTTTAAAGGCGTCAAAATTTGGTGGGTACTGGGTAAAAACACTCCCAAAAGAGACTTTTCGTTTTCATTTTACCCTGCTGCGGATGAGAAGAGATTTTACAAGCTCACTTTTCATAAGAGTCACAGGGATTTGATCACGGGTTCTTATATTAGCCACGTGTTAGACGAAGGAAAAGCCACTACAGTGAGGAACCGGCAGAGAAAACTATACAGTAACAATCCGAGCAAGAACTGGCATGGCTGGAAAGCAACAAAATGGAGCCATGTTCATTTTGAGCATCCGGCGACGTTTGATACTTTGGCAATGGAGAGAAAGAAGAAAGAAGATATCAAGAAAGATCTGAAGAAGTTTAGTGAAAGCAAAGAGTACTACAAGAAAATAGGGAAGGCTTGGAAGCGTGGATATCTCCTCTATGGTCCTCCAGGAACTGGTAAATCAACCATGGTGGCCGCCATGGCGAATTTTTTGAACTATGATATCTATGATCTTGAACTTACAACCGTCCAGGACAACACTGAGCTGAGGACTCTTTTGATCGAGACGTCGAGTAAGTCAATCATTGTCATAGAGGACATCGATTGCTCACTTGATCTTACTGGTCAACGCGAGAAGAAAAAAGAGAAAGATGATGAAGAAGAAGAGACGGATCCGATTAAAAAGAAACAAAAAGAAATGGAAAAGGAGAGAGACAAAAGCAGCAAGGTTACACTATCCGGGCTGTTGAATTTCATTGACGGGCTCTGGTCAGCTTGTGGGGGAGAAAGAATCATTGTGTTTACAACTAATTTTGTGGACAAGCTCGATCCAGCTCTTATTAGAAGAGGAAGAATGGATATGCGCATTGAAATGTCTTATTGTAGCTTTGAAGCATTCAAGGTGCTGGCTAAGAATTATTTGAATATTGAGTGGCATGAATTGTATGCAGAAATTGAGAGAATGTTGGCGGAAACCGATATGACTCCTGCTGATGTTGCGGAGAATTTGATGCCGAAGTCTGACGAGGAAAATGCAGAGAGTTGTTTGAAGAATTTGATTGAAGCTCTTGAGGTCGCGAAGGAGGAAGCGAGAAAGAAGGCCGAGGAAGAAGCGCGGTTGAAGGCGGAGAAAGAAAAGAAAGAAAAAGAGAAGTCTGCAGAAGAAAATGTGAACAAAGAGGAAGAAACTTCAGGTAATAAAGATAAAGAGTTTGGCTCCATTGATCATAAGGAAGGTAAAGGAGTGGAGAATTGATCTTGAATGACAAGCATAGTGAATTGGCTGTCATATGTTCTTTAATTTTGTTCTACAAAATAAGTTGATTAATGGTTGAATGTGTTTGTGTATATTTTCATAATTTAAATTCTTCAAATTTACCCCTTCCTCTCATTTTAATTCCACAAAAAGCACAAAATGCACCCAAAATAACCTAAACCACCTAGGCTAGAACGAAAACCTGCCCCAATTAAAAACTCAGTGCGTAACCAGACAATTAAGCAACTAAAATAAAATTAGACCCTAAAAGTATTGATTGAAACAAAAGAAATAGGAAAATCCAAACTCTTGCAGCTGTCATTAGACAAATCTTACCAAGAAAAAGAAAATATCCTCATGAAATCTGCTTAATTTTTCTTTTCCATCTTCAAATCTTGTTTGATTGAAACACAATAAAAAGAAAATAAAAAAGTTTTCGATTAAAGTGTTCTACGAACGTGAAGCACGAAGAGCAAACCTTTTTGGGTTTAGGGTTTGTCAGATGTCATTGTCTTCAGTATTAGGCCAGGTGACTTTCCCTTTTATTGATTTTTTGTTATTCATAAGGTGATGTTGTCGAAGTTCGTTGATTTTTTATTATTGAATGTTAGTGGGTAGGTGTGTTGTTTATTTCCTTGTTAAATACTGATTGTCAATGGGTAGGGTGTGTGTTGTTTATTTCATTGTTAAATACTTATTGTCAGTGGGTGGGTTGTGTTTTTGGTTTGATTTTTAATTATTGATTGAATAGCCAACTATTAGTTTCTATTACTTTTGTCTTCCATTGAATACCCAAGAAAACTCTTTTACTTTGTTTTGTTTTAGTGTTATGATTGAAGTGGTGGAAGAGTGGTAGAATCGTAGTAGAATCTGAAGATTGCAGGATAAAGACAAGAGAAAATCTCTACTTTGAAAAGTTGTGTTGACATTTCACTCGTGATGCACATGTTTTTCTCATTGTTGGTGGTCCCTATAATTTAAGTTTGTCTATGAATTAGGTTTGCCATTGAATGGAGGGTATAAACGCATATTGTATTAGGGATAATGGATTTGAACAAGGTATTCAAGGGTAAGAGAGTCATTGTATTCAAGGGAAAAGTTATGGTATTCAAAGGCAAGAGGGTAATTATACTGAGGGTGATTGTGATATAGAGGAGAATGATCCAAGATTTGAGGGTGGTGAGTATCGTGGGAATGGAAGCTCTGATGGTGATACTGATAGGGATTTTGAGGTTGAGGAGCTAGCTTATGAGTTTGATTTTGAGCTTCAAGAGTATATAAAATTTGTGAGAGAGTTCAAGGCAAAAAGAAGGGCTGCCAAAATAGCAAGAGGACAAGAGCTAAATGATAGAGAGGAGAGAGATCTTAATGAGGAAGGTGTAGAATCTCAAGTCAATATAGGTGAAGATGGTGGAGAGTACTATAACATCAAGTGAGGGGGAGGAAGATGAAGTTGAGCATGGTAAAAGAAGGCCTAGGAAAACTATTGCATATGATCCTAAATGTTCCTTCCTGAAATTTCCTGTAAACCTAGTCTTTGATAACCCAAAACGGATGCAGTGACCAAATATTATGTCAAAAGGAGTGTTAAGACTAGGTTTACCATATGTAGGCAGCAAAAGCTTGGTGTCAAGTGTAGTGTTGGAAATGATCCCTTTTATGTTTATGCATCATATGAGCAAAATTCTGGTAAGTTCATTGTCAAAACTTGCAATGAAATACATACACGTCCTATGACCAACAGTAATAGGAAAGTGACATCCACAGTTATAGCAAATCACTTTTTGAGTAGGGTGAAGATAACTCCTAGTATTAGACTAAGAGAACTAAAACAATTAGTTAAGGAAGAATTAAAGGTTGATGTGCAACTATCTAAGTGTGGAAGGGCTAAACATAAAATGATTGAAATGATGAATGGGGGCATTGATTATGAATATGGCAGACATTGGGATTATGTAGCTGAGATGCATAGGTCTAATCTAGGTAGTACAGTGAAGTTGTTAACATCTATTGTAGATGACTCTAACTACAATTTAAGAGGTCGTATATATACTTTGATGCATTAAAGAAAGGCTACGTGGAGGCGTGTAGACCTTTAATTGGGTTAGATGGTTGCTTCTTGAAGGGAAAATGTAAGGGTAAGCTTTTGGTTGCTGTTGCTCGGGATCCCAATAACCAAATGTATCCACTTGCACGGGCCTTTGTGGAAGGTGAGAATAGAAGGAGTTGGACTTGGTTCATGTCTTTTCTGAAGGATGGCATTGAGCCTGCAGATGAAAGAGGGCTGACTATTATTTCTAATCAACAGAAGGTAACATTGTTACATATTTTTTTTACCTCTATTGCTGAATTTTGTGCCATATTCTCATGTTTAGGGTGTATTGTTTTAAGTTTTTGTTCAGGTTTTGAGCAAAGTAAAGAAGAAGAAGTGAATATTCAGGATTTTAGCTACTAATAGGTAGACCTGGCAAAATGGGTGGGTGGGCCGGGTATGGTCCGGGTCAAACAGGTACTGGTTGAGTTATACTGGTCTAAAATGTTGGACCCGTGCCCTACCCTATATGGGTATGGGTGGACCCGCAGGTGAACCCGTATTTTCTCTCTCCATATTTGGTTTTTACATTTCACCCCTAATAGTTTTCAATTATGACAATTACACCCCCAAAATTCTTGCAGTTTTAATTTTTTACATTTACACCCCCTAAATCAACTACTCTAAATTCAATTTAATTAAGAATATAAACAAATAGGAACCAAAATAAACAAATAACACATAAACAAACAATAACATATAATACAAAACTACAAATATTAATTAAAATAAACAAATACAAAATCACTAATACACAATTACACATAAACAAACAAAATAAGTCAATAAACTATAAATACCAACTAAAATAAACAAATACATAATCCAATATTCAATAAAAAACATTCTTAGGACAGCAAATGTTCATCCCACAATGGACGTGATAGAGTCTCTTGATTCCACAGTTTCGAGATGAGTCAATGGTGTATCAAAATCATCATCCGAATCATCATTCACCTCATCATCTACAAAACAATGATTAAATATTAATAAATGTAAATAATAAAAATATAAGAAAGTAAAAAGTGCTGCTTGAAGTTTATATCCATTCCCCACATTTACATTTTTGGCCTATTATATTATGCCCTTTATGATGCCTCTATGTTTACTATGTTAAATAAATCTAGGATTGGAACCTTTGAAATTTACAGAAAGGTTTAAAAGGTTGGCCATCTAACCTTGGTGTTTTTACAACATGGTACTTCACAATTTTTGCTTTGCTTCGATCAGCAGAAATTTCGTCAGGAAAGAGTTTAGCAAGCTCCTTCATTGTCTCATCAATTATTTCTGAGTCACTGCGTGAGATCCATTCTTCAACACGGGCAAAAAATAACTCCAGCATGGATTGGTTAGGGTTATAATATTCCAACATAAAACAAGGAATCACGAATTAACCACTTTATGCATAATCAAAGAAAGATGCAGTTAATGCAGTTGGTCTGTACTTTGAATAAGAAAACTGGGTAAAAAGATAGACATCGACTTATATACTGTCCAACATATTTAACAGAGAAGAGCATACAATTAACTGTCAATATCAATTTTTTCCTAAATATTTAAACATAACAGGGTAGTTCCTTCATGTGGTGCCTAACCAGCACAGCTACCCATGCTTGCAATATATTAAGCAAAAGTTGACCATTACCAGGTCAAAATTTAAAAGTTTCTGTTATTTCCCACTAATCAAGGGTAGGGTGTAGGGTAGAAATAATGAATTTAAAGGTACAGGCAAACAAAAAAATGTTGTGGTTTAGTATATATGCGTTCAACAAGGAGAGAAAAATAGCCAACGGGGAGTCAATAAATTAGAACTTTACCTTACATGTTACAGACATGTCAGTGTACACACTCAATAAAGGACTTCTGTAAAAGAAGGAGACGCACAGATGAAACTCAATACACAACCAAAAAGCAATATTACTAGATACTGTAAGATAACATCAAGCAGAAGCTAAAGAAAAACTCTCCTTCAACCATGGGCAACCTAAAAGGCATTAAGATAGTCCAATTACTATTAGCTTTGTAAACCAATCTGCATTGAATCGCTAATGACTATTGCACAAACAGCACCGAGGATTAAGCATTAACTAAGGGCAGGACCTGCTGAAGAGTAGATGATCATATGTGTTTTTCAGTTTCCTGTCGAACCTGCAGATGAAAATAATCTGTATCAGTTAACCACTGGACTCATGATTTAGCTCTCACTGATGACTAACTGTAGAAATGAAGTTGCCAACAATTCCCAAAGATAGCCGATTATATACGATAAGAATCCAATTGACTCTTTAAAGAAGGAATGAGTATTCATTTGTCAATTAGTTAATTAGTAGCAAAAGATAATGAAATTGAAAGTAAATAAATGAAGAAAAAGAGTGATGAATTGATAATATAAAAAGAGCAATTCATATGAATTTCCCAATTTACCTAAATAATTGCATTTTCAGAACATTTTAAAGCTTGAAATAAATTTTCACTTTCTATCAACTTACCTTTCCATTTAAGGGAATTCACGGACAAAGATATTTGAACAAAGAAATTGATTAAAATGCATGATGACATAGGACAAGTTCTAGTAATATGATTTTCCCATGTTACCTCAGTACTTGCATTTTCAAATAATCTTAAAGATTACAATGATTTTCACATACGCTGAAGTTGTTCTTTTCCATTTATGAAATTTCTAGGCCCAATCATTTGAGCAAAGAAATTGATCAAAACTAGTGATCATGTACAAAAAAATGCAACTTTCCCTATGTTACACCAGTACTTTGGATTGGGAGACCATTTTAAGGATTACAAGAAAAACTTACATCTTATCAACTTATTCTTTTCCATTTATCAAAGTTCCCAGCCAAACCAGTTAAATAAAGAAGTCAGTTTCAATAGACTTTCTAATTCAATCAACCAGTATACATCCCTTATACATTTAAGTAAACCCCACTTGCAAAACCTAGCAACCAGGGGAACCCAACACAAACACACTCAACGAAAACAACTCTATGCAGATCTAC